GTCCCTCAAGATTCTCTAAGCAAGGCAAGCTGGCTGCTACTGGCTGGTATCTCTTCAAGCAATTAATATTAGGGACTGCATGCATGTCTCAAGTTCCTGGGATAGTTCAGATACTTCATCTGAATTTAGAAAGTACTAGTCTAGGAAAGAATGCTTTTCATACAGTGTAGCTATCTCCTATAATTTTGACTCTGGCCTTTCCAGTTAAAGAAAAACTCCTCTGAATAGTATTTAAGTAAAAACAATCAACAATCAAAACGCTAAACTATATAAAAAGCTTGGCTACTAAACAAATGCCTGTTTTTTAAAAAAGACACCCATGTATTGTATTTTGTACGATTGTATTTGACAAGTTTATGTGTACTACAATAATGGATATATATAGACACGAAACAATTTGTTCTAGGCAGGCACAGCCTTGGGGAGAGGAGTGTCTCTGATATCTTGCTTACTGCCTCTTGAACCATGACAAAATAAACATTTAAGTTATGAGCTCCACCCAGAAGTTTCTAAAACAGAGTATCTTAGTACCACATAGGAAGGAAGAAATCTCAGATTTTATTTATTTTCTGACACCTCCAGAATGGTTTGTCACAGAGAACATTAGCAAATCCTAACACTACCTACTGCACTATCGTGAGGTGAGACCTTCTTAAACTACAAAAGTTATGACAACAAATGAAACATACTCAAGACTGTTATTCAAAGAAGTGTAAAATGGAGAACAGTGAAGTCACTGATTCCAAGGTGATTTCATCCAGCCAAGAAAAACTTAGTATCAGATCCCAAAGTTCACAGTAAAGTGTCATATACGTAAACTTTTTAGAATCACTTTATAAAGAATACAGGAAAATTATCATTAGTAAATTTCTAAGTGTCATTACCATTGGAATCACTTCCTTCTACAGCTAGTTATTTTTGGCTGGTGCTCACTGTCACATAGAAGCAATTTGTAGGAATTTCCAAAGGCCTAAAAAGATATCTTCCTTCAGAAAAGATGTAAATTTACTGCTGTAAGGTGTCTAGCAACATTACCAGTGGAGAACCATATTAAACCATGCTCAGGGATTAAGGTTCCCTGATCTCCTCTCGATGCACAGATTTGGGCTATAAGTCTGCATGATAGCCAGTTTTTGACCTTACCTTCTCTGGAACAAAGCTTTTATCTTTCTTTTGACCTTTCTCTGTTCAATGCCAAGACAACCTTCCATGTAGTCCCCAAGAGTGGGCAGGGAAGTTAGTTCTAGTTCACTCTTGCCTGAGGATGTAGCCCTTTGGAGTTCCAAGGTAACACAGGAAGGGTCTCCTACACTGCAAGACCTACAGGACAACCTACCTTGGGTGAGCCTTAGGTCTTTCCTTCAATCCTCCTCACCCCATAATGCTGTGAATTCAAAGGCAAATGTGGTTTCGGTTTGCCAAGACTGCGCTTACCTCTTTGGATTCTGGCTTTCTCCCATAAACACTAGCCTGGCAATTCTCCACTATGCTGCTGGCTCTTCATTTTTTGTAAGTGATTTTTTAAAAGATACGCTTTTAGTTGGGCATAGTGGCACATACCTGTAATCCCAGCTACTCAGGAGGCTGAGACAGGAGGGTCACTTGAACCCAGAAATTGAAGACTAGCCTAGGCAACATAGCAAAACCCCATCTCAAAAAAAAGTAAAAAAATATAAATATGTATATACACTTTTTATATACTAACATTTTTGGTTTTCAGCAGGAAGATTCCATCTGAATAACTCAGTCCATCATTACTGAAAATAGAAGTCCTTTTACATTAAAATCAAGTAAAACACAGGTACATTGCTCCCTATTTTCAAACATTAATTGGCTCTATTTTATTGCCTCAAAAGTACACAGCTCACAAGATTTATTATACAATATAAAATGCCCAGGTTTTCTTATATGCTGGATAAAGTTTTCACTCACATCAGTTTCTCTCTAACAGCAAGTACATTCCAAGCCTCCTGTTATTCTGCTGGTTGCTATGCACTCTAGAATGGCACACACTTACTTTAATATCACCATTTTAATATTCACAGCCATAGCACACATTTTAAAGCAAAGGAGAATATGTGGAACACACAGCAAATTAAAAAGCAAATAACAAAAGGGAACAAAACAACTGTGACAAAAGGTAATCTCCTTAATAAATAAAAGAACTTCTAAAAATAAATTCAAAAGAGAATGCCCCAACTGAAATGGGTAAAGAATAACTTACCAAAAAAGACTAATTCACAACATGTTAACTCTCACTAATAACCAATAAACACGAGTAAAATCAGCATTAAATTGGTAAAGCTGAGTAATGCTCACCATGGGTGAGGGTTGAGAGAGAGAACAAACAATGATGGTAGGAGTGTAAACTTGAAGAATCTACCTAGAAGCCAATTTGACATTAATTATCAAGATCTGGTAATTCCACAGGACCCTATCAAGACATAAGGACACGTGAATAAAGTGACACACCTGCCTATTTCTCCATCCTCATTTCACATCACCTTCTCCTTCATTCACCTACTGGCACTCTTTTAGTTCCCTAAAAGAACAAAACCCCTCTCCATATTAGGGGCCTCCAAAGATGCAAGTGTTCCTTTCTTTCTAGAATGCTCTTCTCCACATCCCATGGCACATTCAACCCCCTGCCTAAGTAATTTCCATTCACTCTTCAGTCCACTTTTTCAGAGAAGCCTTACTAATCAAAATCAGGTTCTCCTGTTATAATCTCTCATCACACTTTTTTTTTTCGGAGACACGGTCTCCCTCTGTTGCCTAGGCTGGAGTGTGATGCTACACTCTTGGCTCACTGCAATCCCCACCTCCTGGGCTCAAGAGATCCTCCCATCTCAGTCCCCCAAGTAGCTGGGACCACAGAGGTGCACCACCACGCCCAGCTAATTTTTGTATTTTTTGTACAAACGGGGTTTTGCCATGTTAGCCAGGCTCATCTCAAACTCCTGAGCTCAAACGCCTCAGCCTCCCAAAGTACTGGGATTACAGGTGTGAGCCACCACACCCAGCCTCTCATCAAACTTTTTACTGTTCCTTAATTATACTACACTAACTTGCAATCACTTCCTTTGGAAAAATTATTATAATTATACATTCATAATTATTTGTTTGATAGGTCAACCTACTCTCCCAACTCAAAGTGTCATGGGGGTAGAGATCCTCTACTCAGGTCACACATAGGTCCCCAAGTGTTATCACAGTGCCAGACACATAAATATTTGTTAAGGTAAAACTGAATGGTGCTCATTGCTGTAATATTCATGACAGAGCCTCCCAACTAGTGTGTCAAGATATGGATATTTTCCGCCCTGAAACAGCTGGAAAGGGTCTGGCTTTCTGGCTGCCAGGCAGGGTTGATTTAGAAGCAATTTGTAGGAATTTCCAAAGGCCTAAAAAGATATCTTCCTTGAGAAAAGATGTAAATTTACTGCTGTAAGGTGTCTAGCAACATTACCAGTGGAGAACCATATTAAACCATGCTCAGGGATTAAGGTTCCCTGATCTCCTCTCGATGCACAGATTTGGGCTATAAGTCTGCATGATAGCCAGTTTTTGACCTTACCTTCTCTGGAACAAAGCTTTTATCTTTCTTTTGACCTTTCTCTGTTCAATGCCAAGACAACCTTCCATGTAGTCCCCAAGAGTGGGCAGGGAAGTTAGTTCTAGTTCACTCTTGCCTGAGGATGTAGCCCTTTGGAGTTCCAAGGTAACACAGGAAGGGTCTCCTACACTGCAAGACCTACAGGACAACCTACCTTGGGTGAGCCTTAGGTCTTTCCTTCAATCCTCCTCACCCCATAATGCTGTGAATTCAAAGGCAAATGTGGTTTCGGTTTGCCAAGACTGCGCTTACCTCTTTGGATTCTGGCTTTCTCCCATAAACACTAGCCTGGCAATTCTCCACTATGCTGCTGGCTCTTCATTTTTTGTAAGTGATTTTTTAAAAGATACGCTTTTAGTTGGGCATAGTGGCACATACCTGTAATCCCAGCTACTCAGGAGGCTGAGACAGGAGGGTCACTTGAACCCAGAAATTGAAGACTAGCCTAGGCAACATAGCAAAACCCCATCTCAAAAAAAAGTAAAAAAATATAAATATGTATATACACTTTTTATATACTAACATTTTTGGTTTTCAGCAGGAAGATTCCATCTGAATAACTCAGTCCATCATTACTGAAAATAGAAGTCCTTTTACATTAAAATCAAGTAAAACACAGGTACATTGCTCCCTATTTTCAAACATTAATTGGCTCTATTTTATTGCCTCAAAAGTACACAGCTCACAAGATTTATTATACAATATAAAATGCCCAGGTTTTCTTATATGCTGGATAAAGTTTTCACTCACATCAGTTTCTCTCTAACAGCAAGTACATTCCAAGCCTCCTGTTATTCTGCTGGTTGCTATGCACTCTAGAATGGCACACACTTACTTTAATATCACCATTTTAATATTCACAGCCATAGCACACATTTTAAAGCAAAGGAGAATATGTGGAACACACAGCAAATTAAAAAGCAAATAACAAAAGGGAACAAAACAACTGTGACAAAAGGTAATCTCCTTAATAAATAAAAGAACTTCTAAAAATAAATTCAAAAGAGAATGCCCCAACTGAAATGGGTAAAGAATAACTTACCAAAAAAGACTAATTCACAACATGTTAACTCTCACTAATAACCAATAAACACGAGTAAAATCAGCATTAAATTGGTAAAGCTGAGTAATGCTCACCATGGGTGAGGGTTGAGAGAGAGAACAAACAATGATGGTAGGAGTGTAAACTTGAAGAATCTACCTAGAAGCCAATTTGACATTAATTATCAAGATCTGGTAATTCCACAGGACCCTATCAAGACATAAGGACACGTGAATAAAGTGACACACCTGCCTATTTCTCCATCCTCATTTCACATCACCTTCTCCTTCATTCACCTACTGGCACTCTTTTAGTTCCCTAAAAGAACAAAACCCCTCTCCATATTAGGGGCCTCCAAAGATGCAAGTGTTCCTTTCTTTCTAGAATGCTCTTCTCCACATCCCATGGCACATTCAACCCCCTGCCTAAGTAATTTCCATTCACTCTTCAGTCCACTTTTTCAGAGAAGCCTTACTAATCAAAATCAGGTTCTCCTGTTATAATCTCTCATCACACTTTTTTTTTTTCGGAGACACGGTCTCCCTCTGTTGCCTAGGCTGGAGTGTGATGCTACACTCTTGGCTCACTGCAATCCCCACCTCCTGGGCTCAAGAGATCCTCCCATCTCAGTCCCCCAAGTAGCTGGGACCACAGAGGTGCACCACCACGCCCAGCTAATTTTTGTATTTTTTGTACAAACGGGGTTTTGCCATGTTAGCCAGGCTCATCTCAAACTCCTGAGCTCAAACGCCTCAGCCTCCCAAAGTACTGGGATTACAGGTGTGAGCCACCACACCCAGCCTCTCATCAAACTTTTTACTGTTCCTTAATTATACTACACTAACTTGCAATCACTTCCTTTGGAAAAATTATTATAATTATACATTCATAATTATTTGTTTGATAGGTCAACCTACTCTCCCAACTCAAAGTGTCATGGGGGTAGAGATCCTCTACTCAGGTCACACATAGGTCCCCAAGTGTTATCACAGTGCCAGACACATAAATATTTGTTAAGGTAAAACTGAATGGTGCTCATTGCTGTAATATTCATGACAGAGCCTCCCAACTAGTGTGTCAAGATATGGATATTCTCCGCCCTGAAACAGCTGGAAAGGGTCTGGCTTTCTGGCTGCCAGGCAGGGTTGATTTAACCAGTAAGCTATATTAATATAATTTTCTACATGTGCTATGATATGAAAAAGGTTGAGAATATTAATAATCATCTCTGTTTTAAATTTGGAGACATCTTTCATAAATACTGTCACTTCAATTTTTTTGTCCAACCACCTACCCATTATCTTGCTTTTGGAAATATGTTCAAGAACCCATCTAGGCACCCGCTTTGCCTGATCATAAGACAAAGCGTGATTAGTGTAACACCTTGTCTCTGTTCCAGTTAAAGGGAATCCAAATTGTTCCAAGACAGCCTTTTCCGCAGATCCTAAAAATGAAAACAAAACAAAACAAAACAAAAACACAAACGCACAATTAGTGGCTCTTAACAACAAAAGATTATAAGGAAAAGGAGAGCGGTGTGATTTACAAAGTACTGGCTCAAAAGTCTAATCAACGAGAAAATCTCATTTTTGCAATTATGAGATGAAGAAAATAGTAGACAAAGTACGGATTTGCCTATAATCAATGAATAAACTGCAGCTACTGCGTTAACTTTTGAATAAAGACTTGATCTTATTAGTCTTTCACATCAAATTTCCAAATCATCTCTGAAGCACTGATATGTGTGCTGTTGCAAGATGACAGTAAAACTGGTACTGTTTTTCCGAGTGGGAGAAACCAAGCACACAATCAATAGTGAGTCGGTTTCGAGATAATCCTCCCCTGACGCCTTCTCAAATCCTCAACCCACCAAGGGAGTAGTTCTCTTGCTAGATGCCAAGTATCCAAAGGAGCAAGTTAAATTGGCACATCCACAAAGTGTAAGAAATGAGCACGTCTTAATTTTTTTTTTTTTTTTTTTTGGTCAAATGTAAGGTACTCATTGCAACATGAGTTTTTATACACTTTGGAGAGATAGCAGGTATTCTTCAACTGAACAATGACGAAAGAAGGGCAGTTAACCAATCTACTAAAACTATGTATTAATTAATTTATTCCTTCATTTATACTTACTGAATGCCAATTATGTACCAGGTACTGTGCTGGTTAGATGATGGAGACCAAAACAGACATAGTCTCAAGTCTTACGGAGCTAATCATCTTAGTGGAGGACACAGACTTTTATTAAAACATAGATATCGCGATGAGTAATTTGGGGGAAGAAAGTCGGGCGGGGGGTGGCTCTGTGAAGAAAACTAAGATGCCCGGGGTAAGGAAGGACATGAGGGAAGCCGGCCAGACGCGAGGTGGGGAGGGGAGGGGAGGCCGAGCCGGGAGAAAAAAGGTCAGAAACCAAGGGCCGGGTTCGGGGCCCAGCAAAGGGTGAAGGCTGTCCGTCAAGCACTGCCATTCACATTCCAGGTAGGAGTCGGAGCCCGAAACCTGGGCCAGGGAAGGGAGCACGGGCCCACAGACTTACCATCCGGCTGCTTCCCTGTCACCGCTCCCTCAGCGCCCTGACCCCGGAAGAACTGCAGGGCCGTGAACCCAGCTCCCGCAGCGCCCACTACAGCCCCGGCCACGAAGCCACTCAGAAAACGCCGGGAGCCCCGGAGGCGGGAAGCGATACTCTTCGTAGCCATCTTGCCCGAGGTACCGGCCTTTTATCACGGCGCATGCGCGCGCAGGCCGGTCCCCGTCCCGCCGCCCGCCAAACTGAGGGCCTCGTACGCCCCCTGGTGACAAACCTGGATGCCCTGGCGCATTCCCGCTTCATCCCTGGTCCACTGGGCGGGGCGATGGATGGGGAATACGATGTCTAGACGGTTTAGTGGTGTGCTATGTATAGTCTTGAGAAGAAAATGCCTTTAGTCCCATTTAATAGCTGAGTAAACACTTGCATATGGTTACACTAAGGTCTCCAGAGCCGATATTCCAACTCAGGTCTATTTATTTATTTATTTAGCAACAGGGTCTCTGTTACGCAGGCTGCAGTACAGTGGAATGATCATAGCTCATTGCGATCTCGAACTCCTGGGCTCAAGCGATCCTCCTGCCTCAGCCTCCTGAGTAGCTGGGACTACAGGCACGTGCCACACTGCCTGGCTAATTTTTTTTTTGGCAGGAGTGGGGGAGTAGAGAAGGGGATCTCCTTATGCTGCCCAGGCTGGTATCCAACTTCTGGCCTCAAGCAATCTTCCTGCCTCGGCCTCCCAAAGTGCTGTAAGTCCAGGTGTGAGTCACTGTCCCCAACCTTCTCTCTTAAATTGGAATAATAATACTTAGACCATAGCGTTCTTGTGACGATTAAAGGAGATGACACATGTAAAATGTTTAGGGACGTACCAGGGGCATGTCGTTAAGTGCTCTGTAAATGTTAGAAATGTTTGAGTCATCTCTACTCTTTGTCTTGATAGAATATAAAATCCAGATTGCTGAATGCCTGCTGGCAAAGAAAGGATAGATAGAGTTCATGGATTACCACTCACAAATAAATGAGTTCATTTTGCAGCACAATCTCCAGCATTCCGTGTGGACTTAGTTCTTAGTAGAACTTTCAAGTTTCCTATTTCTTAGAAAACTGGTAGGAATAACTTTCATCTGATCCCACTGATGATTCACTGACCAGGAGGCCACTTCTAACAACCTACTGAAGTATGCACATTATTTTCACAGCCTCAAATGGGAGGTTACCCCCTTGCTAGGAATACCTGTTGTGAAGGACCCTGACTGGTTAAGCTACATCAACCAGAGTCCTTCCTAGGGATTTTGAATCTAGTACTCTCTCTGGGTAGCAAAACTGTGATGTGAAACTCTGGCACTGGGCCAGGCACAGTGGCTCATGCCTGTAATCCCAGCATTTTGAGGGGCCGAGACTGGAGGATCACCTGAGGTCAGGAATTTGAGACCAGCCTGGCCAACATGGTGAAACCCCATCTCTACTAACAATACAAATATTAGCCGGGCGTGGTGGTGCGTGCCTGTAATCCCAGCTACTCGAAAGGCTGAGACAGAATTGCTTGAACCCAGGAGAGGGAGGTTGCAGTGAGCTGAGATCGTGCCACTGCACTCCAATCTGGGCAATAGAGCGAGACTGTTTCAAAAAAAAAAACAAAAAACAAACAAAAAATACAAACCTCTGGCACTGTCTACAGCCTTGTTTCCTGCTAAGAAGTCAAAGGAGCAGATGCATCTGGTCTTGCTCTGAGCAATAATGGAAGAAATACCAGGACACAGGTGGAGAAGGCCTGCAATGCTGTGACCCCAACTCCCAAGGCTCCTGAAGCCCACATACATCCTGCCTTTCTGAAGGCTTGGCTAGTCATTTCCCCCAGAATCCTTTCAGTGAAACCCCCTTTTTTGTCTAATGGTTTCTGCCACCTGCAATCAAGGATCCTGACAAATACAACCAGACAACACTGGTATCTGTAGACTTCAAGGCTACTTCAGCAGCTTTCCCCAGAATTTACTAAATACACAATCACTGAGGTACTGTATTTCTTAAGGCTCTTTTAAGTGCCAGACACTGCTAAATACTAGAGAAATAAATAGTAGATGGCTTTTCCTAATCCAGATCCTCTACTTCTAAACAACAGTGTAACCCCACATTTGGTCCCAAGAGGTCAAGAACTGGAAGGGCTGCCTGCCTCTGGGTAGGAAAACTCCCTCTGGGCCTGTATGCCCACCTCTAAAACTGGCATTGGGCCAGCGATTTGTAAACTTTAAACAAGGTTCCTAGGTGTTCCATAGGGATGCCTGAGACTTAAAGGGATGAGAGGGTAAGTGAAATGGTCCCTTGGCCCTCTTCTACTTGCTCATTCAGACAAGCCTGGTTAATATAAACCAACTTCTGTGTCAAATTTCTTTTGGTGAAAGAAGTCCTTTGCTAAAGGGAAAGTTTGACCAGATGACTCCTAAGGTCCAACCTTTCAGCTTTTCCAGCTCCAAGATTCTGTGTCAAAAATGTCAGCCCTTTGCCCTCCTTCCTTCATTAGGGGCACTCACTAATAAAAGGTGAACTTTCTAAATGTGGAAGAGCAAAAACAGCCAAATATTGGGCAACTGGTCCCTGAATAAAGGGTCCTTTCATCAAAAACTTTCTCCAAAAGTATCAACAGTTGCTTAATTCTCATAATAAAGGGTGAATTAAAAGGGTGTTTCTCCACTTAGGCAAGTAAGAGTCATGGACCAAAACAACTTGTTAGTGCAGAAAGCAGTGAGATGATTTCTGGGGCCTTCCTGTTAAGTATTAAAGACTATCATTATTTTATTGTTGGGGAACCATGAGTTCCTTTAGTGAGATTAAGTCCAGATCTCTGAAACCGGAAACCTGCTTTGCTAATTCCAGGTTGGGGATAAGGACCCATAACTGTATTTTTTAATCGCTCAGCAAATGACTCCAGTACTCAGCAACGTTTGGGAATGGCAGTTTGTCATCTGCAGTAGTCCTTAATACAACTATTTTCAAGGCTTCTCTGCTCCACTTACAACATTATTGCTCAGGGTTGTCTGCAAAGTACAGGACTGGTGGCAGAGGATGGGGGGACGGGGGAGTGTCTTGGACATTTGGAAAATATGCTACCCTGCAGAAACTTACCCAAAATCCCAGAACAGTTCGTTCAGGAGAACGGTCCCCATTCATAGTGTCCCCAACTAGACCCTGGACTTCTGAATGGCAGAAATGGAGACCTGTGCTTAGCTCCAGCCCCACAGGACCATGGCAGACTAGGCATTCAGCCATTAACATCTGTTAGTATTACACATACCAAACAGGAACCGACTTGAGTCAGCCCTCTAAGCAAGGGAACGCCATTTTACTTCTAATCCTCATGAAAGGAAACTCCAACCCCCTGCCACGTAATTAAGAGAGACAAGATTGTTTTACTATTATTTTATTTTCATATACAAAAAGATAAAACTTGAAATAGTTCTAGATTTTTCCTCCTATTGTTGGGGTGTAACTGCTTCTTCACACAGGGGGAAAAAACTACATTCACATCGGTTTATTTGAGGACCCAGTGCAGAGTTCAAGCAGCAAAACCCCAACTTAGCAGATCTAATTTCAAACTTGACACTCATTTCTAAAATTACCACAGTAAAAAGGAACAAAGATCCACTGCAAATGAATGAACTATGATACAATGTTCTTTCCAAAATGTTTTCATTTTGCAACTGTAATTACATGGATGTCTGCTTTAGGCCATTTTAGGGGTGTGTGTGTGTTTGTGTGTGTGTGTGTGTAATATATATATATAAATCAGCACACTTTTCAAATCCAGACAGGGTAACAGCAACAAGCTTAACTCTGTATATATATATATATATATTTTTAAAACATGATACTTTAGTATAACTTTTGTTAATTCAGTAGTACAAGCTATTTCTGTTCTACAAAATTTTTATTTTATAGCTACAAGGGTGAAAAGTGACCTACTACATTTACATCTCACATATCCTGGTATACAAACAGTACTTATTGAATTTGAGCCAAAAACTAGAAGTCTTTAGTTTTAGCACTTGAAAGAGCTTCCTTGCTTCTATAGCCTTAAATCATATACTGTCACATTTCCAGAATTTGCAATTACTCATCATTTTAAACTGTGAGAAACAGGTGAACCCAAACTTTTAATTACAATTTTTATGTACAAGTTAGGTAACACAGCTCAATAAGACTTAGCTATCCATCCTAAGCCCAACACACACATTCTCCACTAAGTTAGACAAGTCTTAGGGTTTTCCTTCTTTCCCTTACAAATAATGTACAAATTTAGAAGTAGCTGGTAAAACTGATATATATATATAAGATGGCAAATAAAAGGTGACATTTTCTGTTGGTTCCAAAACTGTTCCTGCAAATTTTGTTCTTTGCTGTGTTCTTTAACCGTATGTGTTACATGCAGAAAGCTCTTTTCATAAGAATTGACATCAAACTTGATGTAAGTTAAATTTACAGTACTGTATAAAGTTATTCAGATTCAAGGACAAATGTGGAAAAATATTAACAGGTGAAAAACTTGGCCTTTGACACTACCAATTAAGATCATGTCAAGTTCATAAGCAGATTTTTGTACAGTTGAAAAATGGCATTGTTGTGGATTTGTGGTTTGGAACTGAAATCTAGAAATATATTTCTACTCTGCGGTAACCCTCTCCCTCAATTCTGAAGTACCACTCAACTTTCTCTGCATTTTTACAGAATTATAGAAAAAAAAGAGAAAAAAAAAAAAGCCGCTGGCATTTTAACAATTCCTTTCCTCACTGGCAGTCTTAACATTTTCAGATGAGGTCTCTTAAAGAATCTCTAATAATCACTTGCTCCCAGTCAGCCTTTCATGATGACTTGGACACTTTTCCAATTAAAACTCAGATGTTGCCTAATCTTTCCTACTCTCATCTCTGTCATTGTTGGTAAAATTTGGGGGACTGCATTTTTTCCTAATGAAGAAATTATTTGGCTAAACACACACTTAACTTGTGGCAGTGCTCTGAGAAAACCCCACTCGGGCTAAAGCACTTGCAAGGACTGAAGTCAACAGTCCACTGAATGGGGCAGAGACCAAACACTTAAGATGACTGACTTAGGACCTTCACTGGGAACACACTGACCTTGTGTCCCATGGTCTGCGGAACAGCAGCTCTGCAGGACAGCAGGACAGCCCAGGAAGGTAGACCATGCTCATATGGCTGAGTTACCACTTT